GTATAGGTAGACCAAGACTAATGTAGCCATACTGTGTGGGTATACCTTTAAAAATATGCTGGCAGGTTTAAATGAACTTGAACATCCAAATTTAGTTGATGATGTTCTACAAGAAAAGAAGAAAATCTGACTAAGAAAGTCATCAGTGCCGGTCTTTACACTGAGCTATAGAGATTTTATCATACATGCCCTTTAACATCTTTCAAGAAAGCTGAGTGGACCTGCCATACCCATGGGATTCTTTTCATTTATGTAAGACTGAAGTACAGAATTAAAAAGACTAAATACATGTATTGTTAGTTATGAAATTAGGTTTTGTCTTCTATGTCACAGAAAAAAAAGAAATAAACTAAACTGAACCTTTTGAAATGTTGCTAGTTTTCCCCACTCAGAGAATTATTCTTCAAATTTAAGTATATTCTTTTTCTTAAGTAAGTCAAGTGTATCAACTTGCAAGTATATGCTTTCTGCTTTAGCGTTCACTCCTTAAGAAAGCTTGGAGAGAGTGTATTTATTTTCATTGCTTCCTGATAGCTGAGTGGTACTTTTTAAAAGAAAAGAATGAACACATCTTAATGGAGTTAAGTATAATCCTTTCATGAATGCATGCACCAAATATAAATTGAATGCGTCCAATTTTTTTCCTTATCCTAGCACCATTCTGAATTCTTAATAATATCCATCCTATTCAGATTAGAGTTTCATTTCACAAAAATGAGAGTAAGCAACAATACTCAGCCTCCAGCCTGAGTTATTTCATTTAACACAGTGTCTTTCTGGTTCACTCATTTTGCTGCAAATATAATGGGGCTCCATTTCTCTTTATGGCTGAGTACTACTCCTTTCATGTCTCAAAACTCCTTACACGTCTCAAAAAGACTGAGATACAAAATGCCAAGCCGAACTTATTTCTTGTGAGTAGGCCCTGATTGGTTTCCTTAACTCTAGTTTTTGAGATAGGTCTTCATATTTTTTTCTCTATGATGGAGCATAGTTAATTTCTCTATAGGGTATAGAATAATGTCAAATTTTAAAGCCGCATATGGCTGAAAACACAGAGCTAACAGGAGGCTGAGCAGTTTTTGATAATCCTTCTTTAGTCTGATATGTGGTAGACAAACTTTTACCCACTTTATGGACCAGGATGGTGTGTCCAGTCTCAGGAACAATTATCCCACATATATATCCCCAAATTTACCTTAGTCTAGGAATGCTGGGCACATTTGTTACAGCAGATGACTTTCAGCATGAAATCCTGCCGAAGCATCTGTCTAACTCAGCTTCTATCCATCCCATGCTGGGTCCCAGAATTTCCTCTTCAAGTGTTTGTGTGACCTACAGTAGGAATGTCCACACACACTCTTTACATGGATACACTCCTCTAAAGGGAAACTAAATGTCAACAATAACTTTCTAACTTTTCATATCAAAATGAGTATAGCATTTAATGATTTTAATTTTAAAGTCTCATTCCATCTTTGCGTCACACTAATGACATGTAGCAAAAGTAAACATGTCTTGAAATGACTTCTTTTATCTATTTGAAGAGTATTTCAATTATTTTGCATTTCACTTGTTTTAGTGACTTGACTTATAACCGAGTTCCAATCTTCTGCATAGCTTTAATTTGATATGAGTAAGGCAAAGAGAGGAAGTTGACCGGGAAGAAGTTCAAATTTGTTTTTAATCAGTTCATTTGAGAAGTTATTACCTCTGTGATTGCTCTAAGATTTAAAACTGGGACCTTTGACCCCTAAGGACCTGAGAATAATGATCTTGTACCGATGTAATATGACCCACCTGCACCATTTAAATGGAAATTCTCAAAGTGAATAGGAAAATCTTCTAATTAATTGTATTAATTTTTAATCCGAGCTCAAATAAGGAAAGCCAATCAGAAGATTATGAGGACCCATTTAAAGTGTTGAGAGATTCCTTTTCAGAGATCTGCTTGCATTTGTGGAGAATAAGGAAGAAAAGTCACGGGCAGGATTATGCCCTTTCCAGAAAAGCTCAGATCTCTGCCCAGAGTTCTCCAGTGGACCTGGAGAAATCACTCAAAATACTCAGAATCATTTAAGATTGTCTGATTATGGGTGGTTTTTAATAACATTTGCTACAACTTCCAGAAATTGAGATAGTGTTTCTCAGCATTTTTTGTTATTTTTTCCCCATATATTTTGGTACAGTATACTACCAAAATTGAAAATTGGACCATTAATACAGCCATAGGTGATAGACCCCAACTGGCATCCTTATAAATGTGATTAATATAAATATCATTACAGAGATAATTTTCTAAATTACAACTTCATCCACATTATTCTTATAAAATGTGTTAATTTGGACCTGCCACACATGTAAATATGTACAGATGTCTATCAGTGAAGTTGGGACAGTGATGATGTATTTGATATTTGTTTTTGATAGTACTTATTATGTATATTTAGAGCAGTGATTCTCAATGGGGGTTCATTTTGTGTGACAGGAAACATTTGCATTCAACAGAAACAAAGTTTCCAACATGACCAGGTCTTGAAATGGGCAGTTATACATACCAGGGGGTAAAGAAAAACAAAACAAAACAAAACAAAAACAAAACACTCAATATTAACATTCTTATGGAATCAAGATGTAAATAATAAAATAATTTCCCTGGAATAAAATTTAATCATTTGAGAAACTAGATATATTGCTAGGTAGAAGAATGCTTGCATATCATGTGTGGAAATTTGGGGTCAATTACCAGAACCTTCTATCTACAAAATTAAACAAGCAAATGTAGTTATATATTTATTACATTAAAACTAACTAATGTAAAAATTAGCTGTCACCTTTCATTGTCATAATTAAAAGATCTATATGACACTACTAGTCAATTATATAAATGAACTCATAATCTCATCAGCACTGTTTCACTGTATTAAAAGTCACAATGGATGACAGTGGACAAATGGCACTGTGAATATTAAAATGATTGATTAAGGGTACAGATTGAGGGAAGACCTTCACAGTTGTGCATATCTGCTTAGAAGAAGAATGAATTCATTAGCTGTCTTCTCACAAGATGTTGAGGGCTTTTGAATGACTTGTCTGGACATAGTAGACTGTTGCAGAATATTAAAGATGTGTTGTGTTCTTTCATGCTGTGGAATACTTGCTGAATGATGCAAAGATGTGTTGCATACTTTTAGGATGCATTTGTTTAACTCTGTGAGGCTGTGTTACTTTGCCTGTCTAAAAGATCTGATTGGTCTAATAAAGAGCTGAGCAGCCAATAAATAGGCAGAGGAAAGGACAGGCAGGCCTGGCAGGCAGAGAGAATAAATAGGAGGAGAAATCTGGGAAGATAAATGAGGGAGTGAGAAAAGGAGGAGAGGAGGACATCAGGGGCCATCCAACCAGCTACACAGCATGCCACAGACAAGAAGTAAAGAACTGTTTATATAACAGAGAAAGACAAAAGCCAAGAGGCAAAAACTAGATGGGGTAATTTAAGAAAAGCTGGCTAGCAATAAGCCAAGCTAAGTTGAGCATTCATAACTAAGAACAAGGCTCTGTGCATTTACTCAGAGATGGGTAGTAGGTCTGCCAAAAAGGAAAAGACTGAAGAAACAACCAACTCAGTAGATTTCTAAACTATAACAAAGATGAAAATGCAAATGAACAGATGATAATTTAAAATATATACATTAATAACTGTCATGTCAGACCAGCTGCCAAATAAATAAGTTAAACAAACATCATTGGCCTTTTAAAAGAAAGCACATGATATTTAAGAATAAGTAACCTTTCAGAGAAAGCAATAACACTTTTCAAATCCTCATCTCAAATTTACTTCTCCCCAAATTAACTTCTAATTAACTTCTAAGGCTTGGAGATCCATATATATATATATATATATATATATATATATATATATATATATATGAAGCTTCCTTCAAATTGAATAAACTTGTGAAAATTTCATATTTAGAAAAAATTCTGCTATGAAATATACCATATATAGATGGCATAATTGTTGCTTAAAAACAATGTCAGATTCTGCTTACAGATGTATTTTGGGGTTGATAGTTCTAGGATATACTTCTAGTTAGTGGCTGTAGTTCACTCCATAAGTTCTTAAATAAATATGAAAAAAGCTAAGTCTTCCTTAAAAATCTAAATGAAGTTCATACTACAGAGTCTCAGTTTGCATCAGGAGTAATTGAATTTAAACACAATCAGAGTTTATGATCATTTTCTATCAGTGCAAAGTCTCACCTTTTAAATGACTGATTTTGAGACAATTCCACTTTTCCCTTTATTTCTGTAAGGAGGCAATTTTGTGTGGTAATTATTAGCAAGCCTATTTCAGACCTCAGTAAGTGAAGAATCAGCCTGCCTGCATCTTGGGGTTGAAAGCCATCTTACAGTAAAGAGAAACTATGCTCATTCTTGTTTTATGATTAAACCCCTGTTTCTCAAGGATTGGACCATGTCCCACCTGTAAACTTTAATTACAAATGGTTCTGTACTTCTTGTTCCATAAGATGACAACAGCGTCTTTGTTTCAAAACCATCTTGCATCCCTACCTTTGTTGTTATGACTTCCTTGCAACCATGCCTTTGTTTCAAGAGGTTGTTATGACTAACTTGTTATGTTTATGTTCTACTCCTGTAACCATGGCTATTTTGCCTGCCAAATCTCCTATTTAGAAACTTACTATATCTGAGCTATAAAAACAAAACAAAAAACATGTTTTCCTTACTTCCAGTACTGGCCTTTCCAACTTTGCCTTAAGGGGAGGCAGCCCATGTACATGAGTAAAAAGTTTGCTTTAATTGATTTGAGCATAGTGATGTGTGTCAGCGGTCTTTCTCTCCCAGTCTTTGGGATTAAGATACGCTAGTTAGAAAATTTTATATTTTGCTGTGGAATTTAAAAGTTTAAGTCACTGATATGGTTTAAATGTTATACTTTTTCAAGTTTCTAAACTGTATATTCTATGTTTCTGTAGAAATGCACAAAGAAAAGGCTGAAAAGCAGGAGAAACCTGAGAAGAAAATACAAACTAAAGGTACAAATTTCACTTTATGCTCCTCCACTTACGGCTCCTCCTGTCCACTTCTTTGTCTTTTTTCTCCTCCTCCTATCCTTCCCTTGTTCCTCCTCCTTATCCCCATTCTCCCCCTCATCCTTCTCCTCCCACTTCCTCCTGTTCACAGTCCTTTTGAAGAGGTACACATTTTTTTTTTTTGTACATTCATAAGGGAGAAAAAGTATTTCCATAGTTAAGGATTTTTACTTTTAAGTGTTTGGTAATATTCATATCATTTCTTTCTTCTCCAATTAAATTCCAGGTATGAGTGTCTAAATAACAGTCAGTGATAGAAATCAAAACAACTGCCACATTGATGAAAATATTTGTTTATAATGATAAGTATAATTATAATATTTTATGTAACAAATTCTTTTTCTTTTGATTTTCTTTTATAATGATTCAGAGTTCACATTTTAAACATGAACTTGACACACCATTGAATGCCTTTATAATCATTGGTTCAGACATGTCAAGTCACTAGATTAAATCAGTGGAATAGCTTGGGCCTATGCTGTGTTCCCAGTCTCAACGGGCAGCTGGACTGTGACAACAAGATAACTAATAGTTCTTTCTGCCAGTTTGAATCCAGGAATCATTTCAGTAAGGGTCAACACTTATTGCATTTCAGTACGGGCCAACACTTCCTTGCTCATCTGACAGGTATTACTTTTCTGTGGGAGACCCATGAAACCATGGAACTATAAAATCTTATCGCAAACAGTGGCATTTGATAGGAACACATTTTTTCACATAACCAGGTTTTGGAAATGGGCAGTTATATATAATTTTGGATGTTTAAGAGGGTAAAAATGATTCTCACCCTTACTATACTTATGGAAGACAGAGAAAAATAATGAAAGGTTTCCCTGGAATAAAAGGTAATTGTTGGAAAATATGGGTATGTTGCCAAGTAGAAGAATGCTTGCATATCATGTGCAGAAATCTGAGTTCAATTACCAGAACATCCCATATGCAAAAGTAAACAAAGCAAACATAGTTATATATTTATTATACTAAAAACTAGCTAATGGGAAAATTATCTCTCACAGGTAGCACAGTTGAAAATATTGTTTTCAAATACTAGAAGCCCCTATTAGCTTATAATAGCATGCTTTTTTGATAATTATTTTATTTAAAATTTAAACAAACTTGTTTTACATGTCAATCCCAGTTTCCTCTAACTCCCCTCCTCCCCTGTTCTCCCCACCAACCCCAGTCCTATCCCCTTTTTGCTCCCCAGGGAGGGTGAGGCCTTCAATGGGGAATCTCAAAGTCTGTCATATTATGTAGAGCATGACCTAGGCTCTCCCCCATGTGTTTAGGCTAAGGGAGTATTCTTTTATGTGGAATGGGCTCCCAAAGTCCTTTTGTATATTAGGGATACATATTGATTCATTAACAGAGGCTCCATAGACTGCCCAGTCCTCCTAACTGAGACCCTCGTTCAGGGAGTCTGGATCAGTTCTATGCTGCTTTCCCAGCTATCAGACTGGAATCCATGGGCTCCCCCTTGTTCAGGTCAGCAGTTTCTGTGGGTTTCTCCAGCCTGGTCTTGACCTCTTTATTCATCAATCCTCCCTCTTTGCAACTGGATTCCAGGAGTTCAGATCAGTGTTTAGCTGTGGGTGTCTGCTTCTGCCTCCATTAGCTACATGTTTATCTATGTTGGGATATCTAAGTTTATCTAAGTTGGTATTTATAAACTGTGGTTTATCAATATATTTTATGTCTTAATTTCCCTATGAGATTCTGGGGGTCAATTACTTCAAAACTACCACATTCCATTCCTTGTCCCCCATAAGCTTGTAACAGTATAATGCAAAATAGTTCAGCTTCAAAGTCCACACTGTCTATCACAGTCTCAACAATGTTGAAAACTGCAAAGTTCAAAGTCTCTTCGGAGATTCATGTAATCTTAACTGTAATACCCTGTAAAATAAAAATCAAAAGATGCATCACTTTTTGTCAGCCTTACACAATCAAAACATTGACTCTCTCTCACCTGAAGTTTGTCTATGCTTGTGTTGAGGGGCTAAAGACTTCTAACTGCATATGTTCCTTTTTTGGTTCTTAACTCTTTTGGCCAGGAAAATTAGATACTGCTTTTGGGCAAGTATTGATTAACTAAACAGGCTACTTCTCTCTGACTGAATTTAAAGAGAAACTCATCACTTGTTCAGTCTCTGCAGCCTCATTTTGCAGACTCCATTGTAACTTAGCAGCAAGACTGCTGGAGTGAATATGATGATGCTGATGTTAACATTTGCATTTTGGATCTGGCTGTCAGAGTCCCGCTGTCAAAGTCTTTAAGCAGTGGGCTGTGGAGTGGGTTTATTAAACCAGTGAGTCTTCTGTAATTAAAACAGTGGATTTGGCTGAAGTTTAAAGTAAATTTCTCAAAGCTTGTGCTCGAGATTAGTCACCTGAAAATATTTCTTGGGTAGACCAAATGTATGTGACTAAAACAAATAATTCTGAGAGAGGGAGAGACAGACAGACAGAAGATGATCTATTGATAGGCAGTAGGGAAATAGATAGGTGATTGATACAAAGATAGATGGTAGATAGACTGACAGATGATAGAGAGGTAGGTAGATAGATACATAAATACATAGGTAGATAGATGCATAGATGCATGATAGATACATAGATAGTAGATAGATGGATGATAGATAGATACATAGAGAGTAGATGGATGATAGGTAGATAAATAGATAGAGGCCAAAGATACTTAAGTATTTTAATCAACTTTTGCTCCTCTGTGAGAACATGAGTGGAATTTTGTCATTTACTCTCCAGTTTCCTGTCTGTAATTAAGATGTAATAATCTCTAGTTTTTGTTCCTCAATAGTTATCAACAATGAGTCTTGTAACTACATATTTACAAACACTTTTAGACCTCTTGATATATGTAGATAAATGAAACCATCTCTAAGTCACATTACAGTTTGGCTGTGGGTAAATGTGAGGTTTAGTTATGGTTTACATTGTCATTGAAACAACTGTAACTCTTATAAGAAAACATGAGATATGGTTGCCTGTGATCATTATAAACAAACTCCTTTGCCTAAAAAAGACTGAATTTACTAAAGCTGAGGTATTTTGTAAAGATATAAGTATTGGTGGTAATTAAAGATAGATCACATATTATTTCACTTTATTTTCTTCTGTTTCTTTTTTCTTTTATTTCTTCTTTCCCTTCTTTCTGCTGCTCTTCTTCCCCTACCCCTTTAAAAGAAAAACAAAAACTTGTGAAACACAGGAAGACTTTAATAATACATGATGAGTTTATGCCTGGAATATTTACTAAGCAAAGAAATACAGAAAAGGAAGCAATATATAATGCCAAAGAAAACAGATTTCTAATAAGAGTCCATTCAAATAGGATAAGTGTTTTATATGAAAGTGGCACATAATCAATTTCAATATTGACTATTAAGCATAGAAAATAAGACAATTTTTAGAGTGTTTGATGCGATGATTTAAATTTATAAAATGTTAACTCTTTGGGTTGGCCACTTTGAATGCTTTGATATTTCTCATTGGGGGAAGAATAGACAGTTTCTTTGGGGAGCAGAAAAGGGATCAGATGGGGGTTGTTGGGGGGGACAGGAGAGGATGGGAGGGTGAGGGAACTGGTATTGACATGTAAAACAAGCTTGTTTCAAATTTAAATAAGTAATTATGAAAACAAACAAAAGTTCAAACCTAATAATGTATACTGGTTATGGCTTTAAGTGTAAACTCTGACATGTTAGTTAATACTTGCCTTTAAACCAAAATAACCTGGTAATATTTCCCCATAAAAGAAGTAGGAATTTATGTTGTAATTATAATCAGAACAATGTATGTTCTTGTGACCTTGTATTGAGTTTGTGTAGTGAATAATACAGTGGATCATTACATTTGCTTAGAAGAAACACAACCAAACATAACTCTCCCTGGATTACTACATGTTATTACCTCAAATATCAGTCATGTAAATGGCCTTTCATGAATTCGTGGGATGAGTTCAACACAATAGAATAGTTATAGGTCTGAGCAGTAAGATTTAACACAAGTTTGCACAAAGAGTTCTCTTTCCATATGAGGGTAACAGTTTATAATAAAACTTTCATAGATCAAAATGGCCTTGAAAAATAGCTTTCATGTAGAGTGCAAGAATTTATAATATGTATTTGTCAAGCTAAAAATAATGAATACATATGCACATGGAAATGAACAAAGCATTTTGAATCCACAGCTCACGAGTGTTTCAGGTGAAACAATGTCCATTGTAGAAGTGGAGCACGCAACACATCAGACAACAGAAGTTGACTAGTCTCCTGATATACAGGAAAATCATTGTCTGTAGTTTTGGATGCTACCTGATAGCTATATGTCCCACAGGCTAGAAGGATTTGAAATGTCAGTGAGCTTCCTGCAGTGTCATACAAACTCTATAGTTATGATTCTTTTAAAAGTGATACAGTAGTATAAATTAGATGCTTTCTCTGCTGTGAAAAAAAATGTGTGACAGATGCAGATGAAGGAAAAGAGGGTTTATTTTGGCTCATATTTACAGTCCATAGTGAGTCAAGATGAGAAAGGAATAGAAAAATCAGTAGCTTTCTTAGATACAAATAATGAATTTGCTGCCAGTTCCCTGCTTGGAGCCTCCTGAGGCCTGGGTACTGCATGCAGGGGGAGCCTGTCCCTGCAGACCAGTCCGCCAGCTTCCATCTACAGGAGGAGCCCAACTTCCACTGCCCTGCTCAGAGCCTCCTGACGAGTGTGCACTGGGTAACCCTTATAAGCAGAGTGGCCCATCCAGAGTCTGTCTGTGCTCTACTCCCACCACCATCCACTGGAAGATGGGAAACATCAGAGTATTGGACCTGCCTGTAACCTACCTGAAGATAACCTTAGTACCGTACACACTAGGAGAGGGAGGGACCCCACTGGTACACACTGGAAGGAGGATGGGCAGACAACAG